CACTAAGCTACAGTAGGAGAGGTGCTAACATGCCTGTCTGGGTTAGACAAGACAGCACAAGCGGCCACCATCACTAAGCTACAGTGGGAGAGGTGCTAACATGCCTGTCTGGGTCAGACAAGACAGCACAAGTGGCCACCATCACTAAGCTCCAGTAGGAGAGGTGCTAACATGCCTGTCTGGGTTAGACAAGACAGCACAAGCGGCCACCATCACTAAGCTAAAGTGGGAGAGGTGCTAACATGCCTGTCTGGGTCAGACAAGACAGCACAAGTGGCCACCATCACTAAGCTCCTGTAAGAGAGGTGCTAACATGCCTGTCTGGGTCAGACAAGACAGCACAAGTGGCCACCATCACTAAGCTCCTGTAAGAGAGGTGCTAACATGCCTGTCTGGGTCAGACAAGACAGTACAAGTGGCCACCATCTCTTAATATGATGATGAGAAGCAAGAGAAGCAAACAGGAAGGACCGGAGGTGGACTGTACTTTCAAGCAACAAGAGATTATTACTTCATCTAAAAAAGTTAAGACCAAATTTTCAGTTTCTAGAAAAGCTTGTTTACAGATGAGAAGCTATAAAAATCTCTGTCTTTCACAGAACATTGGCCAGTCTACCCAGAGGGACACAGAAAACTGGCCACTCTACCTAGAGGGATGCAGAAAACTGGCCACTCTACCCAGAGGGACACAGAAAACTGGCCAGTCTACCTAGAGGGATGCAGAAAACTAGCCACTTCTACCCAGAGGGACACAGAAAACTAGCCAGTCTACCCAGAGGGATGTAGAAAACTAGCCAGTCTACCCAGAGGGACACAGAAAACTAGCCAGTCTACCCAGAGGGATGCAGAAAACTAGCCACTTCTACCCAGAGGGACACAGAAAACTAGCCAGTCTACCCAGAGGGATGTAGAAAACTAGCCAGTCTACCCAGAGGGACGTAGAAAACTGGCCAGTCTACCCAGAGGGATGCAGAAAACTAGCCACTCTACCCAGAGGGACACAGAAAACTAGCCACTCTACCCAGAGGGACGCAGAAAACGGTCACTCTCCCTAGAGGGACACAGAAAACTGGCCACTCTACCCAGAGGGACACAGACAAGCCTCATAATTCACAAGTGTGATCTTCCTACTGCATGAGTCATTTCTTTAAGAAAATTCCTGGAATGTATGCATTCAACACAAATCAGTAACAATACATTCACATACACATGTCCGTCTACATGTGTAGACTCACGTTAACTTTCACACAGAATTAGTTGAATATCAAGTCCATTGCTCTGAAAAAATCACAGCCTCTACAAGTGACTGGACATATAGTTTTTCTCTTGTTCAACTAATATAGTAAGCGTTCTTCAATGTGCTTTGTCTACTCTAAACCCGCTCAGTCTCCCAACAAGCATTTCATCTATTACTGCTCTCTTCAACCCATGATATTTAACACGAGTATGATATTTAATTTGAAAGACAATGACGAAGTTTATAAATGAAGTCTTCGAAAACATTTTCTTTAGCAGACTCTACCCAGAGGGACGCAGACAAGACTCATAATTCACAACTGTCATCTTCCTACTGCATGAGTAATTTCCTTAAAAACATTCCTGGAATGTATGCATTCAACACAAATCAGTAACAATACATTCACGTACACGTGTCCTTCTACATCTGTAGACTCACGTTAACTTTCACACAGAATTAGCTGTCAAAGCAGTGATGATCCTACATAAATCATCTCTAGCCAAGAGTCTGTCTGCTCCCAAACATTCACATCTCTCCTCTAGTCAAACCAGTGAAGACCCGACACGAATCACCTCTAGCCAAGAGTCTGTCTGCTCCCAAACATTCATATCTCTCCTCTAGTCAAAGCAGTGATGATCCCACATGAATCACCTCTAGCCAAGAGTCTGTCTGCTCCCAAACATTCACATCTCTCCTCTAGTCAAACCAGTGATGATCCCACATGAATCACCTCTAGCCAAGAGTCTGTCTGCTCCCAAACATTCACATCTCTCCTCTAGTCAAACCAGTGAAGACCCAACATGAATCACCTCTAGCCAAGAGTCTGTCTGCTCCCAAGCATTCACATCTCTCCTCTAGTCAAACCAGTGAAGACCCAACATGAATCACCTCTAGCCAAGAGTCTGTCTGCTCCCAAACATTCACATCTCTGGCCTGTAGATGTCAGGTCACAACAACCTGTTACAGCCAGACTGATTCAACACATGGAGACTGGTTTAAAAAAAAAAAAACTCCTCAAATATCACAAGCTGATTGATGTACATCTCGGAAACAGACTTGGATCTATCATTTCAGCTATATTCTGTCAATGTTCAAGACATCATGTTCAGAAAATATGTTAATGCTGTGGATGAGTTAACTTTGCTGTGAACTAGAGCAGACAAGCAAAGTCTGGCACTGTCTGAGTTTGATGGCATCAAGTAGACAGTGCACAAGAACAACAGACAAGCATAGTCTGGCACTGTCTGAGGTTGATGGCATCAAGTGGAAAGTGAACAAGAACAGACAGTATAACCATACACTGACAGACTAATTCAGCAGGAGGTGAGGTGATTAGGGAGGGGGGGTGGGGGAGTAGAGGTTCTGGAAGATAAAAGTGGAAACAAAGGCAGACTTGTAATCAGGTTGCAACAAGTACTGTCAGCATGCCGACTGTTGGTTACCGAGGTAGGGGTTGCAGCTGGTGAATGTTCTGAGCACAGATATGTCAGTTCTCCATTAATTAAATAATTATGTTATAATTAACAACAAGTGACAAAATAGACCCTTTCTATGAGAAAGAAATGACATGTACCCTAACCCTGACAGCAGGAGGTGAACGGCTTGAACACTCGGCCATGAAGAGCCCCTGTAGCCCTGCTGGTGCTGTAGCTGAATGCAGATGTCGTCTGCAGTCTAGGAGCACTGATTACAAAACACCACTGTCTAGTTTTGCCTGTCTTTGTTTCTTTCTGCTTCAGATCTGCTGCTAGCTCAGCCTACAACCTTCAGGAGAGTCCCTGCACCAGTGCACACCAAGATGAGCTGGTGTGCCCCACACACAGAGAAAGGGGTGTCTCCACTAACTCTGTCAACTAGAAATATTTCTACACAAGAGCTACAAATTGCTCAGAGGAAAGGCAGCACAGATGTTTCATCAGAATGCTACTGGCACCATTAGTATCGGAACTCTTCACAAGCAGCTGAAGATGGGGATAGAGCGCTTATGGGAATGCCCCAAGTGCTGTGATGTCGGTTCATGAATCAACTCAACTCAACTGGTCAGGCTGCCAGAACCTGTCACCAACTGTTGCCGCCAATCACTCACTTGTCCCACACATACAGACACCCAACACTAGTAAAGTCAAACAGAAGCCTTGAAGTGAAGACGTACAGAAGAACAGGTCACATTTCATGGAAACAAAAACAATCCAACACAGAAGTTCTGGTGAGACACAACTAAACCACTCAGTGAAAGACAGAAATATGAGACAAGCCAGGTCATTTAGATAAATCAATGGACATTTTAGAAAATGTGTCTGTGGTCTCCCCGATAAAAGTTGGTTGTAGTGGACAGCTGAATCCACTACTAGCTTTAGGAATATCAGATGGTGAGGCCTGCCTCAATCTCTGCACAGGTGCCATGGCATACCAGTGTCCAAAAGTCAATAAACAAAATGGCTACACATTCAACAAGTCTGCTCCTTAACTAGCCCCCGGCTAAAACAGAATCCTGGTATGTTGAGTATTGTAAAAAGCATTCACTGTCCTAAAACACAGAGCCACACATAATGTAAAAGACACATCACTCTTTCAAAAAACATGGTGGAAGTAAAAGTTGCAGCCAGATGAGAAACAAAAATGTAGACAGTGATACATGTGGGAGGATCGGGTCAAAAGATGGCACACAGCATCCTCAGAGTATGATGAGAGAAGAGCCATTGCAGCCAGCCTTCAGTGTGGAGATGACAATTGACTGATTAAGCAATACATGTCAACATTACAGAAAACACTGCATCTCTCCACATGACAGTAACATGTGGATGTTCATCTTAACAGAAATGTGAAACTGTTCATAACCGCCATAAGAGAAGCCAGCCATCCATCCAGAAGTTATCTGGAGGCCTCCATTAGATCAGTTTATACACAACAGAGATGGAGAGTCCAGACACACTCAGTTTGTTCATTTGCTCTCTGATGAAGAACTGATCCTGCATACATCTAGGTTCCAGTTTATGTCTAGCCATGCTGGTTTCTCCCATCGAAAATTGTACCATGCATTTTGTTTATTTTGGCACACTGGTACAGTTTTATCTGCAAACACAAGTACTTGTGTAAACAACATGTTGCCAGATTGGTTCTTTATGTTTGTATTTATCGAATGTGTGCAAAGATGCCAATTAAAACAATCATTCTTCTGCTGACTTGACAAATTTCATGTTCACATGTTGCCAGATCTGTTACGCAACCCCCACGTTGACTGTTTTTAACAATAATTAAACAAAACTGCCTCACTGATTTATGTCGGTGTTTAAACAATTAACTGACATGTTGCCAGTTTGGTTCGTCATGTATTTAAGCTTTTCATTCCCAAAGCAGAGGATCTGCCAAGTCAGCTGTTGCCATGCTTACTTTTTCATGTGAAGAAATTGTTGCCAGGCTGGCCTTCATTACCTGTCAACTGCTTATGTACACAAACAATTGCCAGTTTGGTCTCTTTTATGTTTCTTTTTTTAAAACTGTTGTAGAGAAATGGCTGCCAGTGACACTGGCTGTACATATATATATATATATCACCAGCAATCACTCTTTTATTTATCATTTGCTATAATAAGCTGAAGCAACTGCTGTCTTTACTTGTCTAGATTGCTCCAATGAGCTGAAGTGTCTGCTATGTTTACAGGTCATATTCTAGGGCTAGCCACTGGCATCACACTGAGTGTCGATTATGTCAGCATCACCTGACTGACCCCCGGCTTTGGGACCTCTGTGTGGCTGGGGACACTCACTTGTGATCAGGTACAGTCCCCAAGGCCTCGCAAGTTGAACGTGACCGTTTGACATTCTGCAACAGAAATGTAAACATTTCAACTACTGACAGGAAAAAAATAATTCTGCAACAGTAATGTAGTCATTTCAACTACTGACAAGATGACAACCCATGGTATATTTTAATTTCAAATGATTCTAAACAATACAACATATACACACTTTAGAACCCTTGCCATAGAGAAACAGACAATGATACTTGGACTGTCAGCTGGGCACAACAGAATCTGCACTCATATGTACAGTCGATTCAAGACTGGGGACACTCTGCCCATGCAGACAGGTGCATCAGAATACTGAACACACACTGCAGATATGCTCTCTAGGTGCAGCAGGAAGATGCCAGGTCTGGCCAGTTGGCACTGTGATGAAAATCATAGATCAGAGGACACACATCACAGCACAACCTTCACAGAGGCCTGTGGCTTTTTCCCCCTAAAAATAACTGGCATGAGATGGAAAAGATGAAGACATAATAAACTCAGTCTTGATATAGGTTCAAATTGCAGAAAAGCTGTACACAAGCAAGAAGCAAATTGGCAAACATGATAAATGGAACCGGTCAGTTGTACAGACTACAACAGCAAGTAACTGAGTAGATGCTGCGGCTAAAATACTTTCATCAGCACACAAAACAGTCTTCTTGTTCTTACAGTCTATGCTGTATAACAATGATGAACATATCTGTACATAATTGCCTGTCTTGTGTCTTGTCAATCATGTCCCATACATATGTCCTTTGATGCCATGAAGGGAAACTGTCCAACATCTGCTCACTTTGTTAACCCCTGCAACTTTCCAACTGTTGCCACATGTACCAGTTGTGCTCTTTTCACAATGTGCCCAAAGTACAGACTGTATCACAAACTGACCTTAACCCTTTAAGGTCCGAGCAATGCTGTGAGCATTGATCACAGTTCTAATTTGCTCAAACAACACTGTCAGCGTCAATCATGTGTCCTGTGTACATAGTGCTTCGCACATTTGTTTCTAATGTTCGGAGCTGCTTTTTGAGTATTCAGGGAAGGTTACTCTAAAGGTTTTTCTTTGTAAATTAGCCTTTATTCAGCCACGTGTAGTAGCAAACTGATCTTATCCCTTTCCAGACCGTGCATTTTGCAATTTTGTGTTCCACGCCATGGACGCCAGTGTTCCAACTACAAGTACAGGCCCCATCATGCGTCTTTCTGTAGCTGGAGCTCAGAAATTGTTTCAGTCGGATGTTTTCAATTCTGATAATGAAAATTTAGATTTTCTAAAAAGTGATTCGGACAGTTAATTTACACTAGCGGCAGCTCAGCAATGTTTGGGAATCTAGCGATTCTGACACGTTGGACACAGATGTTTCATTGCTACCCTTTTTAGGGTGTAAGAAAAGAAAAAGTGCTCTAAACAAATAGACAGTACCATACTATGGGTAATCTACATAGAAATCAGTGCAGCTACAGCCTGTATATAACTGTACAAAGTCATTAGTAAATAGTGTGTGTGTGAAATGAAATTTCACCATTTTTTCTCTAAAATTGTGTTGAGCACTCTGTGAGAACTTAGAGCCTCTGAATGCTAAGCTAATCCAGAAACTTATTATATATTTTGATTATGTTAGGAAATTGAACAAACTTAAAAGTGTTATTCTCAAATTTGGATATTCACTGCTCTTTTTGGCTGAATTTTTATGTAAAATTTTGTTGTTGTGAAATTAACACCTGCTGATTTCTTCTTTCCGACTGACTATAACAGTATTAAACATATACTTATTAATCATATTAAAAATGTAAATTCATTTCTCTTTTCTCTTTAAACAAAAATATAATTTTGTAGTGATTAGAAGTATATTACATTCTCTATTGTCTTTTTTGTACACCACCCCCTCTGCCATTTCTGTAAAGGGAAATTAATGTGGGCCAAGTCTGTGAAAATTCACGGGCCTGAAAGAGTTAAGACAGGTACCACAATCTTTTTAAAATCACCTACAGTGGTTCTATGTGAAGATACACAGGCAAATCCATTCTCACGTGGTTCTATGTGAACACACAAACATACTCACAAGGTTACTGACAAAAATATACAGTAATCTGTCCTCTTTTGATGTGATCATGCACACACAATCTCACACACATGCACAGAGTTTTGTAATGTTTATGTGAACAAACACACACATGTCCAGTACAATAATGTTTATGTGATAAGACACACAGGTCTAGTTCTGTAATGTTTATGTAACCAAACACAGTTTTAGTTCTGTAATGTTCATGTGACCAAATTCGCACATATCTAGTTCTATATTGTTTATGTGACCAAACATACAGGCCTAGTTCTGTACTTTTTATGTGATCAAACACACAAGTCTAGTTCTGTATTGTTTATTTGACCAAACAAACAGGTCTTTTCTGCAAAATTTATGTGACCAAAAACACAGATTTAGTGCTGTAATGTTTATGTGATCAAACACACATAAAGAGTCTAGCACTGAAATGTTTATGTGACCAATCACACAATGGTCTAGTTCTGCAACGCTTATGTGAACAGATACGGTTTTAGTTTGGTAATTTTCATGTGGCCAAACACAAACAGTACTAGTACTGTAATGTTTATGTGACCAAACACAAACAGTACTAGTACTGTAATGTTTCTGTGACCAAACATACACAGTCCCTGTACTGTAATGTTTATGTGACCAAACACACATGTCCTAGTACTGTAATGTTTATGTGACCAAAGACACAGAGTTCTAGTACTGTAATGTTTATGTGACCAAACACACACAGTCCTAGTACTGTAATGTTTATGTGACCACACATACACAGTCCTAGTACTGTAATGTTTATGTGACCACACATACACAGTCCTAGTACTGTAATTTTTATGTGATCACACATACACAGTCCTTGTACTGTAATGTTTATGTGACCACACATACATAGTCCTAGTACTGTAATGTTTATGTGACCAAACATACATAGTCCTAGTACTGTAATGTTTTTGTAACCACACATACAGTCCTAGTACTGTAATGTTTTTGTAACCACACATACAGTCCTAGTACTGTAATGTTTATGTGACCAAACACACAGAGTTCTAGTACTGTAATGTTTATGTGACCAAACACACAGCACTAGTACTGCTGTAATGTTTATGTGACCAAATATACAGTCCTAGTACTGTAATGTTTATGTGACCAAACATACACAGTCCTAGTACTGTTATGTTTATGTGACCACATGGACACAGTCCTAGTACTGTAATGTTTATGTGACCAAGCATACACAGTCCTAGTACTGTAATGTTTATGTGACCAAACATACATAGTCCTAGTACTGTAATGTTTTTGTAACCACACATACAGTCCTAGTACTGTAATGTTTTTGTAACCACACATACAGTCCTAGTACTGTAATGTTTATGTGACCAAACACACAGAGTTCTAGTACTGTAATGTTTATGTGACCAAACACACAGTACTAGTACTGTAATGTTTATGTGACCAAATATACAGTACTAGTACTGTAATGTTTATGTGACCAAACATACACAGTCCTAGTACTTGTTATGTTTATGTGACCACATGGACACAGTCCTAGTACTGTAATGTTTATGTGACCAAGCATACACAGTCCTAGTACTGTAATGTTTATGTGACCACACATACACAGTCCTAGTACTGTAATGTTTATGTGACCACACATACACAGTCCTGGTACTGTAGTGTTTATGTGACCAAACACACACAGTCCTGGTACTGTAATGTTCATGTGACCATGCATACACAGTCCTAGTACTGTAATGTTTATGTGACCATGCATACACAGTCCTAGTACTGTAATGTTCATGTGACCATGCATACACAGTCCTAGTACTGTAATGTTCATGTGACCATGCATACACAGTCCTAGTACTGTAATGTTCATGTGACCATGCATACACAGTCCTAGTACTGTAATGTTTATGTGACCAAACACACACAGTCCTGGTACTGTAATGTTTATGTGACCACACATACACAGTCCTAGTACTGTAATGTTTATGTGACCAAACATACACAGTCCTAGTACTGTAATGTTTATGTGACCACACATACACAGTCCTGGTACTGTAATGTTCATGTGACCACGCATACACAGTCCTAGTACTGTAATGTTTATGTGACCACACATACCCAGTCCTAGTACTGTAATGTTTATGTGACCAAACATACACAGTCCTAGTACTGTAATGTTTATGTGACCACCCATACACAGTCCTGGTACTGTAATGTTTATGTGACCAAATACACACAGTCCTAGTACTGTAATGTTTATGTGACCATGCATACACAGTCCCGGTACTGTAATGTTTATGTGACCAAACACACACAGTACTAGTACTGTAATGTCTATGTTCAAACATCAGCAACTAGAACAATGACAATATGTCTTCCAACAGTGGATACGAACCTGGGGCCTGTCCCTGTGGGTGTTAACAGCTGGCACGTCAAGAGCCACAAACTCCACCCTACAACCATAGGCCACGGGTGTGAGTTTGATCACTGTGTGCAGAGGCACCGTCAGATAGGACAGATTGTCTGCAAGTAAAAGAGAGATGGTGTAAACCTCAGTTAGAGAATATAGAGGCACTGTTATTTAGGGCAGATTGTCTGTAAGTATAAAGAGATGGTTTCAAGTACAGACTGTAGACAAACACACGCAGACTGAGGTATACACTTTAGAAAATAATAAACAGAATATACTGACCCAAGCATCAGAAACATAAACAGGTGGGCTCACAATGACAGAAAGGACAATAGACCCTAATTTAGTTAATGTAACAAGACAACAGGGAGAAGACACTAATTCAGTTAATGTTACAAGACACCAGGGAGAAAACACTAATTCAGACAATATAACAAAACACCAGGGAGAAGCCACTAATTCAGACAATGTAACAAGACACCAGGGAGAAGACAATAATTCAATTAAAGTAACAAGACACCATGGGGAAGACACTAATTCAGTTAATGTAACAACACTCGGGGGAGAAGACACTAATTTAGGTAATGTAATAACACACCAGGGAGAAGACACTAATTTGGGTAATGTATCAACACACCAGCGAGAAGACACTAATCCAGTTAATGTAACAAGACACCAGGGAGAAGACACTAATTTGGGTAATGTATCAACACACCAGGGATAAGACACTAATTCAGTTAATGTAACAAGACACTAATTTGGGTAAAGTATCAACACACCAGGGAGAAGACACTAATTCAGTTAATGTAACAACACACCAGGGAGAAGCCACTAATTCAGTTAATGTAACAATACACCAGGGAGAAGACACTAATTCAGGTAATGTAACAACACACCAGCGAGAAGACAGTAGTTAATTTAATATTAATTTAATAAAAACATCCAGAGGTCAGCTAGATAGTAGTGGTAAGTCAATGTCATAAATCAGCAGAAAAGCTTACAGATCTGCATTGATCAAAGCACAAAACTCCAAAAGGACACCTCACTAGAAAGCACTGAAGTGTGCTCAAGGGAAAGAAGCTGTTCTGCTGACAGAAATGATCAGTTGATGTAATAATCAAATACTAGGGAACAAGCTGGACATATTTTAGGAGGGGCTGATCACAACAACAGATTGTGACAGCCTTGGTTGTCCTGAAAAGATACAGTGTGTAGAGACGTGGTTCCTGGTGTTTGTTTGGCTTTTTCCCCACGGCCTCACAGAGCACTGACCCAGCCTGACAATAGGGCACCAGCGCAAGCGACCAGCACGAGTTGACCCAAGCACCAGCAACAGTCAGCAAAAACCCACAGAGTTAGGAGTTAAAGAGAGCCAGACCAGACCAGGTTCTGGAACCCCAAGCACCACCCCGGATTTAGAAAGACAAAGAACAGGAATATCAGGCGTGACTTCAAACCACAAAGAATAGGACATTAAAAAAAAGATAGCCAAGGAACCTTTCTTCATATAGCAGGCTTTCGAGCAGCTGAAGAAGGATCAAGTGTGAAATCTTTGTTTATCAAATCGGACAGTAATACTAGGTAGATAATTTTAACATAAGGGAGATTTTTTGTAACACTAGCAAGACACTATGTTACACCTTGAGACATTTTGCAAGGAAAACTGCTACAAAAACAAGACAATCTAACACTAGCCAGCCACTAGGAAGACAATATGTAACATTAGCAAGGCATTATGTAACACTAACAAAATACATGTAACCCCGGGAAGATGATAAACACGAGCAGAGAGACAATATGTAACACTAGGGGGACAAAAACATTAAGTCAGACAGTCGCAAATATTAAAGCAACAAAAGAACAAGAGGATGTCCCCTCTCTCCCCCCCCCCACAACACACACAACCATCAAACGCTGTAAGAGGGGCACATTTAACTCTTACTGCATTGATATGAAGGGAAGAGAGGGAGAGAAAGGTGGAAGAAGCCGGTGAATTTGGAAGGGTGGGGAAAAAGCTACTGAACTAAAAAAGATAATACATTAATGAGCTAGGGAACCAGTGAGCAATGACCAAAGAACCTATGGGAACAATGAAGAAAGAGCACTTTAGACAATATTGTGGATAACATGAGAGAGGAAAACATGAAAAAATATATCACAGAGCGTGTCTGTCAGATGAAGATCTGCATTAAATGTTGTCTATGTGACCGGTGGGTGGTTGTCAATCCTCTGTAAGACTGAGTCTCAATGTTTCCGTCTGATATACTTGTGTTAAGTCACCTCAGCCCTGACAGGGATCTGCATTTTAAGGACTGAATTTGGTGTCCAGATTGTTCATCTGACCCAGCACTGAAGAATCATCTCCATGGGGAATGTGTTGCAGGGCTCTTCCAGCCCAGAAGACAGCAGTGTGTACGAGACAGGTACTGGAACTTCCCACCTGTGGAGAGGAGTCATGAGGATGTCCAATAAACACTGATGCAGACACAGAAATAAGTGTCTGCAGTGGAAACATGGGATCAAGAGAGGCATCCATGATCTGTGAGCAAAATGAGAACACTACAGAGACAGCACAAAGTTAGGCTAGTACGTTGTTGCTATATCTACCTCCTATTTATATAAAGCTACAAACATTATGAAGCAAGTAAAAAAAAAAAAAACCCACACACCTCACTGCTATGTTTCTGTTAACAGTGACGTTGCTGAGTCAATAACCAATACAGTACAAAGAACAACTTTAACCAGACTGGTGGGTAACCCGAAAGAATGGTTCTGCAGTGTTGCACACAAGTAACTACAGCAGGTCTAAAATACAGCATCAATGAACAAATACTTTATCATCTGCTTCCACCCTTAAAAAGGTATTTGACACACTGTATTCTGGTTTACAGCTAGGCTGTAACAGCTGCATCTTTTGGCCCAGCACTTCTGGTTTCAGCAAAATTGCCAATCAGACACTTCATAACATGCTTGTTGGGGGGTGACTGGGTCTAATCTTTGTCCTCCTGAGCCAAAATGAGACCCCAGAACCCGCAAGTGGAAATAAAAGATGAAAGATCTACAAACTCATCAATGATAACATCCCCTGTGTGAATCACGGCAGGAAGTCAGTACATGGTGCTGCCTCAAATCTCTACAAGGCCAGCTTGTCTAGCGCAAGCACAAATTTGCATCATTAACAGTGACAGCTGGGCAGGCAAATAATGCAATTACCTGCACCTTTTGTCATCTTGCTTTTGACTACAGAATATAGAGATCGATCAATGAGATTATGTGGCCATGAATATATAACAGCTGCAGATCTGAGACTGTATCACTCATTCTCCTCTACAGTGGAATGAAGGAAAACCGATGATAGTTGAGGGTATCCATAAAAAATAACAAACAAAGGCTGGGCTATTCTGAGCTGCAGGAGCTATAGGATCACAAACTATGAGGATAAGACAAAAAAAATACTGATGTGCTCATCAACAGAAGAGACAGATGAGATCAAAGGAAGAGGTGAAGAAATGTGGAGAACATGACAGGAAACATAGACAGATGAGATCAAAGGAAGAGGTGAAGAAATGTGGAGAACACGTCAGGCAACAGAGACAGATGAGATCAATGGAAGAGGTGAAGAAATGTGGAGAACATGTCAGGCAACAGAGACAGATGAGATCAATGGAAGAGGTGAAGAAATGTGGAGAACATGTCAGGAAACAGAGACAGATGAGATCAAAGGATGAGGTGAAGAAATGTGGAGAACATGTCAGGAAACAGAGACAGATGAGATCAAAGGAAGAGGTGAGGAAATGTGGAGAACATGTCAGGCAACAGAAACAGATGAGATCAATGGAAGAGGTGAAGAAATGTGGAGAACATGTCAGGCAACAGAGACAGATGAGATCAATGGAAGAGATGAAGAAATGTGGAGAACATGTCAGGAAACAGAGACAGATGAGATCAATGGAAGAGAAGAAATGTGGAGAACATGTCAGACAACAGAGACAGATGAGATCAAAGGAAGAGGTGAAGAAATGTGGAGAACATGACAGGCAACAGAGACAGATGAGATCAATGGAAGAGAAGAAATGTGGAGAACATGTCAGGAAACAGAGACAGATGAGATCAAAGGAAGAGGTGAAGAAATGTGGAGAACATGTCAGGCAACAGAGACAGATGAGATCAATGGAAGAGGTGAAGAAATGTGGAGAACATGTCAGGCAACAGAGACAGATGAGATCAAAGGAAGAGGTGAAGAAATGTGGAGAACATGTCAGGCAACAGAGACAGATGAGATCAAAGGAAGAGGTGAAGAAATGTGGAGAACATGACAGGCAACAGAGACAGATGAGATCAAAGGAAGAGGTGAAGAAATGTGGAGAACATGTCAGGCAACAGAGACAGATGAGATCAATGGAAGAGGTGAAGAAATGTGGAGAACATGACAGGCAACAGAGACAGATGAGATCAAAGGAAGAGGTGAAGAAATGTGGAGAACATGTCAGACAACAGAGACAGATGAGATCAAAGGAAGAGGTGAAGAAATGTGGAGAAAATGACAGGCAACAGAGACAGATGAGATCAATGGAAGAGGTGAGGAAATGTGGAGAACATGACAGGCAACAGAGACAGATGAGATCAAAGGAAGAGGTGAAGAAATGTGGGGAACATGTCAGACAACAGAGACAGATGTCCACAATAGAAGATGATTATGGAAGGTTGAAACAACTGGAACAGACATAATCAACAACAACTTCCATAAAATATCACCTGACAAAGAGGACTGGAGAGTTCATGTAGCTGTTGCCAGGTGCAGAAAAACAAGGTTACAATCCAGAATATGACATCAACAATGGAGCAGTAGTCATTAATATTTCTCAGAGAATCTCAATAAAGTTGTTCTGGACAGTAGGAGAGAATGAAAGATAAAACACAATATGAAGAGGACAAGAAGGAGCAGTAGGATAGGACACTAGATAGGTCCTCTTCGCCGAACCTGGTTGAGGAGCCGAGCTTCACTAGAGAATTAAGGTAGCAGAGTTGTTGGTGGTTATCTACATTTAAGCTTTTTTTTTCCCAGAAGAGCTCTGTTACATTACAAAGCTGGGTTGGCCACTTCCCGTGGCTG